TTCAGCTTCCCTTCGTGTTTGGAGGGGAATGCACTAAGCATAGTATCCCAGGAATATACAGGCGCATTTGAAGGTGCACGTTGTAGGTGCCCGTTCTGACGGGCACTGATTCATTATGACGATGGGCACTTCGTTTTTTTTTCTTTCTTCAGCTTCCCTTCGTGTTTGGAGGGGAATGCACTAAGCATAGTATCCCAGGAATATACAAGCGCATTTGAAGGTGCACGATACGAGCTTTGTGAAAGAAACAAAACAGAAAAGATGTCGGTTTCATCAACTTTTTGAAAGAGGCTCCTTCCGGCCCTGTCTGGATGCCAGACTCCGCCCTTGAAAATATGCCCAGTATTTTTGCACGGTGGCCTAGCATGGAAGGAAATGACCTGGGGGCCCAAAAAAAAAAATTGTGCTACCCCCAATTATCCAGCCATCCGGACCATTCTCCGGACCTGGACCCCGGACCCCGGACCACGGACGGTCCGGATCCCTGTCCGGTGGTCCGGATCGTAGCCATGCTTTCAGGTAAAAGTTTCGTAAAACGAAAAACAAAAAGAAACAAAAGCAAGCCCGTCAAATTAAAAAACAAAAACAAAAAATTCCGCGTTCAAAATCGCGCAACCCCCCTAATTACCGGCCATAAACCCCTACCTCACCCCCCCAAAAGAAAGGCGGCGACGTTTTTCATCCCCACCCCCCAAATTAACCGACAAAAAAAATTCATGGAAAAAAAAAAGGCCTTTCACTTCCCCCCCCTGTGAAATTAGATTAACCGAATTAAAGAAAAAGTTTAAAAAACATTTAAAACACCCATGTTCAACAGCGCCCAACCCCCCAAATTATCGCCAAACCCCCATTGTCGGGGTGCACCCCAACCGCCTTCAACACGGCCCAAGTTGCCCAACCTCGCAAACGTCCCTCAAATAACCCCTACATGACCCCCCAATAGAAAGCCCGCGACCTTTTCACCCCCCTCCCCCAACCCCTGCCCCGTAATATTATTATTCTATTACGTTAACTAAATTTGAAAAACGAAAAGAAAATAATTTTTTTTTCACCAGCGGCCAAAAACGAACATAAAATAATTTTGTTTTTCACCAGCGACCAAAAACGAAAAGAAAATATATATTTTTTTCACCAGCGACCACCCTATGAAGGTGCTCGCTCCAACAGAAAACGAATCCGCGATTACAGCTTGATGGAAGACCGA